ATCCATTAATCCACCCATGAATCCATCCATAAATCCATCCTTGAATCCATTCATGATTTCATCCATGAATCCATCCATAAATCCATCCTTGAATCCATTCATGATTTCATCCATGATTCCATCCATTAATCCACCCATGAATCCATCCATTAATCCATCCATGAATCCATCCATGATTCCGCCCATGATTCCATCCATTAATCCACCCATTAATCCATCCATGAATCCACCCATGATTCTGTCCATGATTCCATCCATTAATCCATCCATTGATCCATCCATGATTCCATCCATTAATCCATCCATTAATCTGCCCATGAATCCATCCATGTGCTGCCCCAGGATGGAGGAGCCTCCTGTTCCCACGGGACACAGGGTTTGTGTGAGGGATGCCCTGCTTGAAAATGTCTCCTGTCCCCCTGTTCCACACTGATTGGACACTTTTAAATGCGATGCTGTGACTTCTGCCTGCCCTCTGTGTCTGTAGAGATCGCAATAAAGTCTTGCACCACAGCCAAGCTCCAGCCCTTGGCTTGCTGGGCCTGCTGGGTTTGCAGGAGGTCTGCTGTGTTGGGGTGTTTTTTCAGCTTTTGCAGGCTCAGAACAATCCAAGAGTGAGCTTTTACTCCAGGAACGGAGCACATGCTGTGGTTTGTGGGTTTAGGCACAGGAGGGGAGGAAAGTGACCTTGTGAGAGCCACTGGTGGAAAAAGGCCACATCTGGCCCAGCGGCTCTGAGCTGGGCACAGCTGGCAAAGGGCAGAGAAGCAGGAGATTCTCCTTGCCAGATCCTCCTTGCTGCACAGAGTGAAGTTCAAAAACTGGTTATGAAATGTGCATGGAGAGGCTGAGCCCTTTTGCACCTCACAAATCCACCCAGCTATCCCTCTCCAATCACATGAGTTCTTGCCAAGCTTTTCTTGCTCATCCTGTTTAGCTCCTTACTGTTGAAATGGAAAAGAAAGTCACGACTAGAGGAATAAATTTCAGCCGCTCTGTTTCCCCTGGAGGGATTAACTCGTTACCAACTCTCTGGGATCAAAGCTACAATAATTTTTTGCCTACATTTGTGCCTCAGTAAACAGGGCAGGAATTGGTAGTGCCATGACTTAGTTTCAGGTTCCGGGGACATCTGGTGAGGCTGAGGATCTCGCTTTCTGGATTCTATCTCGTCAGCAGGGCTACTCAGAGAAAACCCCTGCAATCACCAAATCCATTCATCTGCCAGCTTGTAGGAGCAGAGCAGCCCAGCAGCAGGATGGAGGAATCCTCTGCATGTGCCTTTCACCTTGCCAGGGTGGGAATGGAAGAGGATTGCCAGAAGTTGGCACCAGGAAGATCATCTGCATCAACAGGGCATCCTTGGTGTGGCCCAGTGACCAGGACTGAGCTATTCCTACCTTGTCAGCAACTCCAGGACTCTGGAGAAAAACCTCAGAGTGAAAACCTGACCAGGTGGATGATGAGAAACAGCAGCTCAAGGTTTTCCAAGGAACAGACACCAGCATCTCCTCACCTCCCTGATAACTGCCCAGCCAGCAGAGCCACTCATCAGGTGAGGTGGGCATGCTTGTGCTCAGCCTTGCAGCCCCATCTATTTCTTACATGGGGTTCATTTATTCTGTTCATTGCACATTATTTATGACAGAGCCATCTCTGTATTACTTGTGCTGGCCAGCAGTTGTTTGTGGAGTTGTGCAGGATTCTGCCTGCAAGTCCCTGCACGTGGCAGAAGACACCCACAGCAGAAGGTTTCAGGACCTCCAATCCAAAGAAAATAAAAATGCTGACGGTCTGGGCGGATTAAACCTCAGCGGGATTAATTTGCAACCTCTGCATCCCCCGCCTTTTAATAGAGAGAATAAATATGTTTAAAGGATAAAGCAATGCTCTCTAACCCAAACTGACGTCAGCTGAGCAGCTTGTGGGGCTGCAAAGCTGGGCTCAAAGCATCGATCCTCGTAAGGAAGGCATCTGCTGGTGCCACCAGCACTGGGACCAGCACAAGCCACGCTGGGCTCTCTGCTCAGGCTCTGCAAAGATTTTCCAACCCCTGACCTGCATCTGAAGAGGGAAAGGAGAAGGATCCACCTCGACGTCAGTCTGTCAATAGATTGCCTAACACCAGGTCTCCAAAAGTAAGGAATTGGCACACGGGATGGGAGCCTGCTGCCAGCGATTTGCAACACAATGCTGAGGCTGGTGAGGGTGGATCACGTCTGTGCTCAAGGCTGCACACTTCAAGTACCTTTTCCAAGTGAAAGAAAGCCAGGCTCCTGTTATTCCAGCCACAAAACTGTGAGGATCTGGAGTCCTGGCCTCTATTTTGTATTGCTTCCCAATCCTTTCAGTGAAGAATCAACCTGCTCACGGAATCAGAGAAGCTCAGCAGCCAAGGGCCAGCAGGTCTGGCTCTCACTGGTGCCACACCAAACCCCCCAGGAGCCCACGAGCCCCGTGGCAAAAGGCTGTTTGTTAATTTATTTAGCCTTTTATTTTACTTGGGGATGGTTTGGGGGTTCTTTATTCATTTATTTCTACACTTTCTGGGTCCTGCCATGTGCCACGAGTCTCATCTGCAAATGTCTCCCACTGCTGGCAGCTGATTTATTTTCATTTCAGCCAGGATTTGGGTCACAGCTTTGTTTCAGGGTTTTGAAAAGGAAAGAAAATGTTTAAGCACAGCAAAAGGAGACAAAACAATCAAGGAAAAGCCCTTTTGTCCCCATGGCAAAATACCAAGTGAAGCTGCTTTTAAATTTTTTTTTGTTTTTGTTTTTGTTTTGTTTTTGGCAAATTGTTTCTGCAGAACTGAAAAGAGACTTCTTTTTTTTTAAAAAAAGGAGATGTGTTTAAATAGGATTAACTTAAGCAAGAATTTGTACTATGGAAAGATGCTTAGAGAATCTGTTAAAGACAGAAAAACAAACAATATCCAAATCCCATAATCTGATCACCTGATAAAATTTAGGAGCAATTTTCTTAGCAGAAAGAAGAATATTTACTGGAAATGGACTGTCTTGAACAAATTGAATAACCAGATTAGGTGAAGAGCATTACCTAAAAAGACAATTTTACAGAAAGCTTCTTGGAATGAGGCGGAAGCTACATACTTAGGAAGAAAACGGGTGAAAAAAGAACTAAATCATGAATTATTTACTGCACCCAACGTGGCTTTGTGGTAAGCCAGGAAATTGTAATGAGTGCAAGCTTCTCTTCATAAATAAATGCCATTAAGTTTTCATTTTGCTTGTTGGCTTTGCCTTTTAGAGGAGAATGGTTTAGGCCAGGCTGAGGGAAGCAGCAAGGGAAAAACATAAAAATAAAAAATGAAAAATAAATAAAAATATATAAAATATAACATATAAAATAGAAAAAAATAAAAATAAAAATAAAAAAAATAAAAAAAAGTAGAAAAAAAAGAAAAAAGAAAAATAAAAAGAACAAAGAAAAAAGAAAAAAGAAAGATAAAGAAAAAGAAAAGGAAAAAAGAAAAAGAATAAAAAAAGAAAAAAGAAAAAGAAAAAAGAAAAATAAATAAAAATAAAAATATATAACAATAAAAATAAAGAATAAAAAATAACAAAAATAAAAAATTAAAAAATAAAAAATAAAAAATAAAAATAAAAATAAAAATAAAAAAAATAAAAATAAAAAATAAAAAATAAAAAATAAAAAATAAAAATAAAAATAAAAATAAAAATAAAAATAAAAAAATAAAAATAAAAAATAAAATAAAAAAATATTGCTTTGCCTCACAGCTGGATTCTCCTTCCCTGAAAGAAGCTGTCTCTTCTGGTGGTTGCACCACTGACACGTTTATCGAGATTTTCTGATGAGCCTTGGGATTTTGGCTGACAGAAACAGCCAAATTTTTTATTGCTGTAAAATAACTGCCCTTCCTTCAGGCTAAAGAAAATAATCATCAATACATCACAGCACCTCTGAGATCACCACTCAGTTTTATTACCAAAACCTCTCAGATACACCCTAACACAGGCACTTTGTGAATACCCTAAGCCCCTTTTTATTTGGATTTTACACATTCTGCTCCAGAATCACACACTGGACCATCTGATTTGCAATTTCTCTTCAGGATTTATTCATTTCTCACCTCTCAGTCACTGAGACAAAAATAAAAAGCCCAAACCCAGCCACATTAAAAATGTGATTAATTATAATTTTTATTGAATTCAAAACCACTAGTACTGGTTTTTCTCTAGGGAGATATCCTTCCAGTACCTGAAGGGAGAAAGATGTAAAGAAACAATTTACAAGGGCCTGGAGAGGCAGGACAAGGAGGAATGGCTTCCCAGTGCCAGAGGGCAGGGATAGATGGGATATTGGGAAGGAATTGTTCCCTGGGAGGGTGGGCAGGCCCTGGCACAGGGTGCCCAGAGCAGCTGGGGCTGCCCCTGGATCCCTGGAAGTGTCCAAGGCCAGGTTGGACTTTGGGGCTTGGAGCAGCCTGGGACAGTGGGAGGTGGATGGGCTTTAAGGTCCCTTCCCACCCAAAAACATTCTGGGATCCTACGTCTGGATTATTTACTGCAACCCACGGTTGCAGCAAAATCACAGATCTGTTGGATCTCCTTCTGATCCACCTCGATGGTTTTAAGCATAACAGTGCCGGACCTGAGGCAGCAACAATGAGCTTTGTGTCACTGATGAAGACACAAAACAAAACCAAAAACCCAGAAAAATCCCAAACAAACAAACAAAGCAAAACAAAAAAAAAACCAACCCAAAAAACCCTAAAGGAAAGAGAAGGAAAAGTGGAAAAAGAAAGGCAATGCAGTGCCAGCCAGGAATAGATGGAAGGCTCCTCTCCCCACCCTGTCACTGCTCCAGTTAAAAGCAGAACATTTTAATCAACTATATTCAGGTGATCCAGATAGAGGGAAATTTCAAAATCCTCTAGAGACAGCACTAATCTTATGAGGAAAAAAAAAAGCCATGAAAAAAAAAAACCAATCTGATATCAAGCAAAACCAGCAACTTTAGGGATGCTTCTTCATGATGTCAAGGATTTCCCGGTACAAAACCTCGGTGGCGTCGAGGCCCAGCACGAAATCCATGTGGTTCCAGTGGGGAATCAGCTTGTGGTGGACCAGGTTCTTGACCTGGGGGAGGAGGAGGGCGGTGTCCCGGGGGTCGGCCAGGCAGTCCTGCCCCGCGTTCCAGATGGCCGTCAGCACCTCCATGTCCTTCACGTCGTAGAACGGGGCCCCAGTCTGAGGAGAGGGAAGAGAGGTTTCACAAAGGCCAGGAATACTCTTTGGGAAGGGAGGGAGATAAAAACTGGAGCACCTTTCTTCTAGAAGGAAGAGGAACTTCTATAGAAATGCAGCGTAGCCTTACGTGCTGCAATTTAGCGAGTTAATTTAACTAAAATTAATTAGAAAATTTGTTCTGCCCGGCTAGAAATTCTGGTTCTGATACTGCAGATGGTTTTGATAATCTGGATGGTTTTGATTTGGAGGCAGGACTTTGGCTGCCCTGATTTAGTGCTGTTGGATGATCATGCTACCAGCAGGAGGTTGGACTGGGGACCTCCACAGGTCCCTCCCAGCCGGCCCTGCTGGGGTTTGTGGTGATGCTTCACCAGCATTTCCTGCAGCCCAGGGACAGCAGGGAGGTGTTTGGAAGCAAGGTTTTGAAATGAAAACATTTCTGGAGGGTTGTTTCAGCTCCACACCCTGAGAACTTGCCGTGAGGTGATTTGTCAGCAACGTCTCTCGTTACCTGCAGTGTAATAAATCAAGTTAAGAAGCACACTGCTTTCTGAACAATTTTTGTTGTCGTTGTTTAAGGAAGAAAGAAGGGTTTTTCCTTTTTTTTTCCTATTCCAAGGCTTTACCACTATTTCAGAGAATAAATTTTTCCTAATATTCAGTTTGGTGTAACTTAAGACTCTGGAAACTCTGGAAAATGGAAAGCCTCTAATTTAAAGCGTTTTATTCCATTTAAAAGGTGTTTGCAGAACAGAGCTGAGCATGGAAAATGCTGCTGTTCCAAGCAGAGATCCTGACTTCCAGTTTGTGAAGAGAGGAGGAGACACCCCAGGCGTGGGTGGGAAGAGGACAGGGAGAGGGAAGGCCGTGGCCATTGGAGAACCTCACCTGTCTGTAGTGAAGGCTGTTGTACATGTGCCCCCCGTCAAAAGCTCTCAGTGCCCCACCGTGGACCCCCTGCAGCAAATTCAGACATGCAGTGCTCTGAGTGAAATCACACTTCTGTGGGGGTGCAGCCAACCCTCAAAAGTCAAACCTCAAAAGTTAGTTTTCGTCTCTGAACTGGCAGGATTCTTCAAGTGTGTCTCACAGGCCCGGCCCTAGGCCCAGCACAAGTAATTATTGTGGTGATTTTGGAGAAATGGGCAGAGATTATGTTTCTAATGTTTGTGGATAACACCGGGATGGGAAGAGGTTAAAATGTTCTGGAAAATGGGTTTGGAACTCTAAATATTCCTTGTGGGCTGGAGAATTGGCACAATCAGAAACGGAGGGAGCCTCTGAACATCCCTTGTCTAACTGGAACAGGACTATCAGCAGTACAAGGTCAAGGTGGACGTGGCTTGATCCCCCTCACTGGGCAGCAGCACTTCAGAAAATGGAGTGTGTGCTCTTGCTGCAAACCCCACAAAGTTCTTCTGGGCTCCCTGAGCAGGAATTCCACACAGGAAGAAGCTGTGCCCTGAGTACAGCCTGTGGCACACCCCTCAGAGAAGGTGCACGGACTGAACCTGCAACCTACAAAAAAAAAAAGTGCTAATTTGGAGCTTGGGGAAGAGGAAAGGACTGCAGCAGAACACAACTGCAGTGTCAAGGGGCTCTGGTGGTGACTGTTCTCATGCCCACAAGGAGAAATAATCTGCTTTATCGCTGATAGGCTTAATTGGCTGCTATCCAAATGCACCTCTGCCACAGTCTGACCACTAATGGCACTCGGGTTGCAGGGCAAGAGTGGAGCTGGTTTGAAATAAGACCCCTGGAACGTGCCTGCTGTGGATTCAGGGTCCTCAGCTCCGAGAGTTTCTCTTGACAGATCCACTCCTTTGGGGCCTCTCGGCTCAAAAATCCTCCGAGCGTTTTAGGGAGGGGGTGAAAACAAAACCCACAAAGATCTGACAAAGGTGTGTCTTGCATTGCCCAGCACAGCAGGCTGCCCACGAGGGACCAGGGACACCCTGCTTGGCTCAGGAAGGAACCTGGCAAGGTTTACCTGCAGCCAGTGGATGATGTTCTGCACCGAGGACCCTGCCGGGGTGTGTCCCACGTACACGTCGAATCGGCTCTGCAAGGACGCGGGCACATTTCACAACAGGATTCACATGGGCTCCACATTGGCTTTGGCCTTCAGAAGGGCTCTCTGCAGATTTATTCCCACGTACCATGTTTGTGTTCTTCCAGTTGAAGCCGAAAACCATCGACAGGATGTGCTTGCAGACCTTTGAGCAGACACAGAACCTGGAGAGGACCAGCTCCCCCAGGGCAGTGTGTGGCAGGAACTCCCTGGTGCCAAACAGCTCCTGTAAAATTGCAAATGTGCTCAGCAAACAGCAAGTCTGGTCGTGCTTTTCCCCAAAGCACCACCAACTTTACAACTTCTATTTTATGCCCACATTAAAGTTGCCCATAGTTCACCCTCCATAAGGGAGGGTGAAGCCTCCCTTGCACCCCGTTAAATGCTTCTGTTCCTTGCTTCTCATGGCTGTGATCTCCTATACTCATAATGCTCCTCTGTTAAATGGTAGGGCTTAATTCACAGCCCCTGCATCAGTTTAATTCACCAACGTTCTGGATCTAATTCTGTCAGAACATTTTGGGGAGTGAATTCAGGTTCTGTAGTGAGATGTGATTTTCTTCATTATGAAAACAGCACAGCGCTCCCCTCTCTGTAAATGACTTTAAATATTCCACAGATAATTTCACAATCCCTATGAAGAACATTTTGGCTGTGCAGAACATGTTGCAGACCAACCTTAAGCCCAGAGTCAGAAAAGAATGAGAGTTTTCTAAACGGGCTCTGAGAAAACATCACCGTGGTCACAGGAGAAAGAGCAAAGAACACCTTGATTTTCCGAGCCAGCTGGGGCATGGTGGAAAAGGCTATAAAACCTTGGGGGGTGGGGGGTTGGAAAAAAGTAGAAAAAAGAAAAAATGGTTTAGTCTTTCAAGACACTCATGCACATAGTTTAATTTCAGTGAGTGATTTTACAAATCGGACAGGGGGTGTAGACTTCTCGTGCTGCCATCAAGAGGACTCACTCACCTATAGTGGTGCCTTGGGAATGGCCAATATAATACAGCTGCTCCTGGCCTGTTTTCTGCTCAATGAAGCTGATCATGGCTGGGAGATCGTATTTAGCCATCTCATCGAAGCTGCAGAAGGAAGAGCAGACGTCCTGCTGAGAGGGACAGCATCTCCACGTGCACAGCCACCAGCAGCAAACCACAGTACCAGCAGGGAGGGCAGGGCCGCCCCACCAAACACCACCTTCTTCATCCTACCGAGCTTTCACATGGGGTTTTCACTCAAAATAAGTTGGATGAGCTTCATTCCAGCCTGGTCCACTCATCCCCCAGCTAGGGCAGCGTGACCCCGACAGAATTTGGCTGTTCCTGAGATCCTCAGACCCATTTACCTGAAAGCCCAGAATTCATCCTGTTTGGGAGTCAGGACCTGGTGTCTCCTGGACCAGGTGTTGCCTCTGCTGTTTCCAATCCAAACATCGTAGCCAGCATCTGCGAGGATGAAGCCCAGGCTGTTGTTGGCCAGGTTGGTGAGCCAGCTGCTCCCTTCTGCAAGGAGACCGTGCTGCAAAAGTACCACGGGTCTCACACCTGCAAGACATGATGACTCCTTATTTTTAATTTAATTTAAAAATCAATGTGAATTTATTATTTTTTACAACATTAAATAATATGATTAATATCAATTACATACCACATAATAGTATAAATATTAATATTCTAGCATATTCTATTTTATTGATGTACATAAATTATTATAGTGATTATTATTATTTTATTAATTGAAATTTTTTCTTCAATTTAATTTTTTATTTTTGATTTTGCATGATGACTCCTTATTTTTAATGCTTTTTGTCACCTCTTGAGACAGTTTATAAAGTTTTATCCCCATGGCAGCCAAAATCTGTGAAGGTTTGTGTCAGTGTTCCTCTAGATTTCATTTAAAAAGCAGGTTTGCTAAGCTGAGCCATTATCTTGGCCTTTATCCCCAAAATCTCTGGGGATTCACGCAGAACTTGAGCTGCCCGGGGAGCTCTGTAGGCAACCATGGAGGAGCCTGGGGATGTGACAGGAAAAATGCAATTTTCATGGATCTAACCCCCCCTCACAGGACAGGAGGCTCCCCTGGAGGCTCCTCAGGGGGTACCAAACCCGTCTGCTGATCCATCAAACGGCTGCAGGAGCACATTTTGGGAGCCAGGCTCTGGAGAGAGAACCCAAGGTGTGCCACCAGGATGGATGGGCTGCCTCTCGCTGCTGGGATCCTGACATTCAGTGCTCAGGGGTTCCTGAGGGGTGAGGAAACACCCCTGGAAAGGGATCAGCCTTCCCAACAAATTCTGACGCATCAGAACCGATGCTACGGATGCCGAGCCACAGGGAGCCTTGAAAACCCTCTTGCACAAGCCCTGGTATCCCAGTGAAGGTTTGTGTGCTCTGTAGGGCGTCAGTTTTACCTTGGCACCCGGCATTTCCTCTCCCATGAGGAATTCTGTTGAGCTGAAGGATGTATCCATCTTCTGTCACCACGTCATACTCCTCACTGGGGTAGCCCCAGAAGGAGACCATTTCACTCTGCAACCAGAGGAAAGCCAATAATAACATTTTCAAGGCGAGGAAATACCTGAATGTGATATTTAACTATAATTATTTAGTCAGCAGCTGTTTTCTGGATGCTTCCCACCCTCTGCTCCAATGCCATCATACTCACGATGTTCATCTCTGCTTCTGGGTTCTTAGAAAATGGGGAATTCAAGAGGCACTCCCCGGATGCCATCCCGTGGAACACGGCCACCAGAGCTAGAGCCAGCCACATCCTCACTGTGCCTGGAACAACACAGAAGCAGTGCCAGGGAGAGCAGGGGCAGGGGAGGTGAGGGCAGGGGAACACCCTAGGTAGGACCAGACTCAGTCTGGTGGCCTGGATGATGGCTCAGAAGCGTTAATGCACGTGGGGTGGCTTAGGAAACACATCTCAGCAGGGATGTTTCCAGGGAGGTGGGACAGACTTTCAGGAATTCCAGTAAGAGGCGAGACAACAATCCTTGCAGTGCTCTGCAGACCACTGGGAACTGCAAGAGGTTAAAATCATAGAATCACAGAACGGGTTGGGTTGGGGAGGGACCTTAAAGCCCCCCTCATTCCAAGCCCCTTCCACTACCCCAGGTTGCTGAGACCTCCTTCGAGCCATTCTGATACCCAAAGGATGTTGGGTGTTCCTTGTCCTATCGGTGACTGGGCAGTGCCACTTCTCCAGTCTCTCTTCCAGGAAAGGGGATGGCTGAGAGGGAAAGCTCTGTCCCATCACCCTGCCGTTTGCATCACCTGTTGACACCACTGCCCAAACCTCCCCAGGATGGAGAGGGAGGATGAATAAGATCCAACACTGCCTTCCCTCCCTAAACAGAAATAAAATCATGGAAAGAAAATCTCTAACCGCTTGCCCTTCTCCCTGATCATGGTGTAAAAGACAAGAATTGATTATGTTTGATCCAGAGAAGGACATTTTAAAGTGCAAATCCGTATGCAAAATGGGGAGGGATGCATCTTCCAGCAGATCTAGATGTCCCTTAGTGATACTGGGTTTAAGGCAGCTTAAAAAACCCCTCAGCCTGTGCTGGAGACTGCAGCTGCCGCAGGAGGCGGTGGAGGCAGATGGGAACAGCAGGCTTTGCACACAGCTATGGGCAGGAGGCATCACAAACAGATACCAAAAGGTCTGGGATTGCAGCATCGCTCCCTCTAACAACTGTGACATTGGACACCACAAGAAAAATTGGGCTGGACCAGCCTCTAGAACCGACCCAGCAAATCAGATTTTGGTCCCTGCTCTGAGGCAAGCAGGGGCTGTAAGTGCCACGAGTCCCGAGTGCCATTCCCAGCCACGTTTAGGTCCGGCTCTAGCCATGCTTTTCCCACACTCACCTGTCCAGAAGTGAAGGCAGCCCAGCCCAGCTGAGAGGTGGCACAGCTCCTGCAGGAGGAGAGGGGGAGATGTCGGCCCCTGGGCGGGATGGGCAGCACAGCAGGGAAGAGATGCCCAGCCCGGAGGAGATGGAGATGTGGCACACGGCAGTGTCAGAGGATGGGTTGTCACCCCTGGCTGGTGCAAGGAGCAGTGCTCTGCATCCCTCTGCAGACAGCCCTTTTTGAACTGGCTGCAGGGTGGGGTGGGGGGTGTAATCACCCTGGGACACAGAACATATAAATTGTTATGTAACACCACAGTTTAGAAAGTGCAATTCCCCAGAATTAGTTTGTGGAGGCCGGTTAAATACTGTTTAGGCAGAGTCAAATGACTATGGACGTTTGGAGGTGATTTCCATTGATAAAGTGGTTTAATTGATATTGCTGAAGAAAGTTTCCAGCTTCCCATTTCAACGGTGGTTTTATTTATTTGTTATGACAAGAGACATAATTAAGTTATTGCAAGAAAAGATCAAAGTCTAAAATGGATTTCCAGTAGCTGTGGTTTAGAAATGATGATGTTTCTTGTTATACCAAGATGCCACATGTGAGATGGAGATTAAATCCCAGGCAACGGGCTGAAAACATCTGTACTGGGTCAGGTCAGGCTGGGATGGAGTTCCCTTTCCTCATAGCACAGGGATGGGACACAGCCAAGTTGCCACAGCAACACTCAGTACCTTTATCCCTCCACCCAGTTTTCTCACTTTTGCTCTCCCAGTTCCCTCCACCTGCCCCACTTTGGGGTGGGGGATGGAGCTGTGTCAGCCCACTGCAACCTCCTTCTCTTCACACCCTTACAGGGAGGTGTGAAGAGTACCTAAGTGCCTCATCCTACAGGTGTCCTGCCAAGAGGGAGAGTTATCCCTCTCCACCGCCCGTGCCAGGGCTGGCGCTGCCTCCTGCCCTTCTTTCCTAGATTGTTTTGCTTTGGAAATTGCGGTGAAAGGTCAGTAGGGAAAGGTGTCTTCTGTCTGTCAGCCTGGAATGGCCCTGACATGTGTCCAAGGCACGCACCTAGATGTGGCAGTTTGTCCCACTTCTATGAACACACAGTAGAACAGGGGTTTGTAACTTAGAGGTTTGGAGGTTAAGGGTGGCTTTGTTTTTGGGGCAGTGAAACCACGCTGCACTAAGTCACCTCTGGCTTTCACCTTCTGAGGGAACACATCATGGAAATCTACACTCCAGGGAAAGGGCAGAGTAACTCTGCTCACACTCATCTGGAGGCACTGGAAGGGGCAAGATGAAGGCTGCACACAAAAGAGTCCTGCAGCACTTGAAGAGCAGGACATTGTCACAGGCCTTACAAGATGCTCCGGCCTCCCAAGGGTCCTGTGCAGCTCCTGCTGAAGCACCACCACTCTAGAGGCAGAATGGGGTCAAGGAGAGTCCCTTGAGCTTCATTGCACAGCCAGACCGGGTAAACTCAGCTCCCTCCACCTCCTGCTGCAGTTTGTCAGCCTCTATGGATCACCTTCACGCCCCTCTCACCAGGCAGGTGTCACCTCCCCTGCACCGAACAGCAGGGGTGACAGTGGCCAGGTGGCCCCTTGGCCACTCCTGGGGTTCTCCAGCCTTGCAGGGAGAGCACCTTGTTGGCTTATATCCAGTTTGGTGCCCACCACCCTTCCTTCCCAGGTCATTTCCAGTAAGGCTGTTGTGCTACAGCTCCTGATCAGTGTCCCCGTGCCCTGCCCTCATCCAGAGCCACCTGCCACCAGCACATACTTCAGGTGGGTGTTTAGCCCGAAAGCAGGAACGTGTCACACATCCAAGAGTTCTCACCCAACTCCTGCTGCCCTCTCTTGCATCACTCCTGTTTTCTTCGCTGGCAGTGCCCACGTGTTCATCAGGTGAGCACAGAGCTTTTTTCCACTGCAGTGGAAACTTCAGCTCTACCCATCGTGCTCGAGTTTAATCATCAAGTTTTCTATAAAATTACTGCCAGGTTTTCTGTCTTAATTCTTGGTGTTCCTCTTTTGGCCTCAACTCTTTCAATTGTAATAATGTCTTAATACTCTTCTACCTCTAATAGGTGTTAGGAAGCATTCAAAGGAGGTGATGGGGAAGGCTCTGGAGGGCCACACAAGGGCTGGCTGAGGTCACTTGGTTTGTTCAGCTGGAGCAGAGCACACTGAGGTCACAACTCCCCAGGGGCTGCAGCTCCTCCTGAGGGCAGCTCTGCTCTCTGAAAGGGACAGGACCCAGGGAAAGACCTGAGCTGTGCCAGGGGAGGTTTAGGTTGGAGATCAGGGAAAGGCTCTAACCCCAGAGGGTGCTGGCACTGCCCAGGCTCCCCAGGGAATGGGCCTGAGGCTGCCAGAGCTCCGCACAGGGTGAGATTGTTGGGGTGTCTGTGCAGGGCCAGGAGTTGGACTGATGAGCCTGTGGGTCCCTTCCAACTCAGGATAATCCATGGTTCTATGGCCCTGTGACTGCTTTCCCACCTGCTTCTACATGTAGGAGACTCTGCAGAGCCCGCTGGCATGCCGAGCTGGCAGTGAGAATCCAGGTGAGCACCCAGTGCCATCAACCATCCCCAAGCACATCTCCCACACAGAGCCATTCAGTGGCCAGCAGGCCGAGTATTTGTGAGGTTTGAGAAATCCCCTTTTCACAAAGACTCAAGGAAATGGTGGTGACAATCCCCTGCAGAGGTACAACCCCACGGCTCGTCTGGGAGGCAGCAGAATCTGGAGGGAGGGATCCACAGCAGGCAGGGAACAGGACAAGGTGCCAACTCTGCAGGAGGTGCTGAGGAGGGGACACAACCTCCTGAGGCTTCTTTCCAGGGCAATGGTGTCAAGAAGAGAAAACCTCCCACTCTCTTACGTGTTGGATGGTCAGTTACACAGCCAGGCTTTTATTTTCTTTTTAAAAAGTCCCAGACCAAGCACGTGTCCTCCTCCATGACTGCCCCACAGCAACACGGGAAGGGGAGACAGGGGCTCCCACCTCTCTCCAGGAAGAAGGTGTTCTCCTGTTGAACAACACCTGCCCTGAGGTCAGCTCGGAGCTCCCTTTGAAGATGAGCATCACCAACACCTGCCTGTGCCTCAAGCAGCTCTGTGCAGCTTCACACCGGTCTGTTGCTAAACACCTCTGCCAAAGTGTGGGGCTCTGGTGTCCCCCATACCACAACGATCCTATCAGAGCTTTTCTGGAACATCTCCTCTCACCCACACAGCTGGGGAAGGGTAGCAACCCAAATCCTTCCCCCAGCTGCCCACTCTCAGGGCTCTCAGGACGGGAGTTTGTTTTCCTGGGGCAGAGGCATCGCACGCAATGTCACCACCCCTCAGCACTATTTGCTCTGGGCCCAGCACCCCGCTTTCCTCACATCGAGCCGTGGCTCCTTGCAAAACACGGGCCAGGTGTTGGAGAGGAGCCCGCCAGCACCTTCTGGAAGTTGTCACACCCCTATCCCCCAGCAGGTCCTGCCGTGCAGCACCTCCAGGTGGGCAGGACTCGATATGGCAGAAGCTGCTCGGTAAGGGTGGGTCAGACCCAGCTCTGGAGCGTGCCTGGACTGCTGGCAGGTGTGTGTGACACGGGTGTGTGTGACACGGGTGTGTGTGACACAGGTGTGTGTGACACTGGTGTGTCTGTCCAGGTGTGTGTGACACTGGTGTGTGTGACACGGGTGTGAGTCACACGGGTGTGTGTGACACGGGTGTGTGTGACACTGGTGTGTGTGACACGGGTGTGTGACACGGGTGTGTGTGACACAGGTGTGTGTGACACGGGTGTGTGTGACACGGGTGTGTGTGACACGGGTGTGTGTGACACTGGTGTGTGTGACACGGGTGTGTGACACGGGTGTGTGTGACACGGGTGTGTGTACAGCCGTGTGTCTGTACACGTGTGTGTGACACAGGGGGGTGTGACACAGGGGGGTGTGACACTGGTGTGTGTACAGCCGTGTGTCCGTACAGGGGTGTCTGTACAGCTGTGCGCCCAACACAGCCGTGCCCGCGAGTCCCCGAGCGCGCGCAGG